GAATTAGTGTTGCGGTAAAATCATGTCGGTTCTGAAAAAATCTTTGTTTCATATGATAAAACCAATTTCAGAAATGCTTAACTTTGAAGGTAATAATAAGAGCGTAACAAATAATGAGAAGGCAGTTTGCAGTTTAAAGTAAATTGCTCAAAGTAAAGGCAAACTAGATTTTTATAGTAGTTCGGTCGTCGTGACCTACATCCACTCTGTCGATTCTTCTTCCGTCGAGGCCACCGGCATCCACTATCGGTCTTCCTTCAATAGGCAAAGACTAGCCACCTTTTACAACTCGATTATCCTTTTATCGGGATTAGGAGATAACCCTTATACCCTCACTTGCTCCTCTCTCAAACTATTCTAACACTTAGAACTTTTGAGAGGAGTTCACATAAGATTGCAGTAGCGTTTCTTTTTATTTTTACTCTCAAGTCTTGTGTATCTTAATCAGGGATGAGAGAGATATTTATAGGCCTTAAGTTGATTTAAACTTGGAGCCTAAAAATATCTCATCTCGATTTCCTAGGTATGGGTGGTACCACCGCTTGGCATCCTAACACTAGGCGGTACCACCGCTTGACAGAGCTCGGAGACCGAGCTCTGGCAGTACCACATCCTGATAGGGGTGGTACCATCACTAGCAGCATTTACTGCCAATAGTACCACCACCTAGTCTGGGCGGTACCATCGCCCATACCACTTGGGAGACTGAGTCTCCCAAGCGGTGCCATCACTGGCCAGGCTTTCAGCATCCTGGTTGGGCCTTGAATCTGGCCCAAACAATCTCAACTTCGGGCCCAGTTAGCCCATAACAGAGTTGATGGGATTACCTCCCAATCCTAAATCCAATTATTTACTAACTATGATTCTAAGACATATTCTGAGCAGTCTAGTTTTGGTATGTCAATTGCTCTTCCGGCGAGCTTCCAACGATCTTCCGGCGAACTTCCGACGAACTCTTGGCAATGTTCCGGTGGACTCCTAGCAAGCTCCTGGATTTCACGACGATCTTCTTTGCGAGTTCCAATGAGCTTCTTTGGCAAGCTCCTAGACTTCTCGGCTGATTTCGGCAAAACTTCTAACGAATGTCCGGACTTCCGATGAACTCTCGAACTCTCAACGAAATCGCGTTCTTGACTCCGAGACTTCATTTTGCTTTATGCCTTACTATTGTAGTTAATCCTACATATATATAAACATACTACGATCTAGACAATCATTACTAAGCATGAATCACGTCGTCCGGCATGTCATTGGTCCATCGACGCTTCGTCCGATTCTTCGGCGCATTGTTCTCTCTTGCTGCCTATTGCCCAATCGGCTAGTTGACCTCCGCAACTCTGATATCCTTGGCACAATATCCGCTCTTCTCGACTCGATGCCCGAATCCATGGCCCGAAGCCTTCTGTCGACATGTCGATTGATCATCCGGCCCAACGTCCAATTTTCTAACATGTTTTCCTCCGGCCCAACATGATTCTTCCTGCTTTAGTTATCTCTCCCTAATCAAAGCATCCTACGTCACTCAAAACGTAGATCAAATCATAAACACTTATCAATTGGTTTCATCATCAAAATCCAATGTAAAAAATATCAGAAATATCAAATAGAATTTTGAAAATAGGAAAAACTATATTTTTGTCCACATGGAAGCAAAGGTTTCCTGTAAGTTTTAACTTGTGTTGACCAATTTTTGACCCAGTTATACAGTGTTTGAATTGCTTAAAAAGAATATAAGTGAGTGTAAATTATGGTTTTTTAGGACCACACTTTCATTCTAAGCCTATTTATAAGTTCAAATGTTATAAAATATTGAATGAAAACATGACATTTTATCAACTTTTATTAAAATAAAAAAGAAAAATTCGGAATATTTATAATCTAAAAATATCAAACAAAAATTTTAAAATAGAAAAAAGTTATATATTTTTTATTGATACGAGAGTAATTCAAAGGTTTCTGAAAAGTTTTAACTTGTTTTGACTAGGTTTTAACTGGGTTACAGAATTGCCCCCAAAACAGTATAAGTGAGTCTAAATCATGTTTTTTTGGACCACACTTTTTCAATAAGTTTCAAAGCTATTTAGAAGTTATTTTAAGGATATTTTTAAAGCACATTGTAGTATTTTTTATGGGTTAAATTTAACCTTTCAAGGGTTGAAATCAATTTTTATGGCTTAAAAATGAAAAGTAATGGTAGACCTTTTCAAATTTATGTTGAAGATTTATTAAATATAGAAATGTTTTTATATTTTTTATTTTTTAAAATATATAAATATTGTTATTATATTATTCTTCATTTTATAGTTAATAAAATTATTTTTAAATTTATTATTTATAATCTTTTTTGATGATTTAAAGTAATTTTTATATTTTTTAATATCAATTGATATATTATTAAATTATTTTATATTATTCATTTTAAATTGGTTAAAGATTTTGGTTGGTTCAATCAATTCAATTGAGTGGTCATTTTTAAATCATCAATATAAAGAATTTGAAAGGGGAAAGAGATAGAGAGGATTTAATTTTTTAAGAGAAAAACGTAAAAGGTGATTGAAGATTATTTTTTGTCATTTTAAAAATTTGAGACTCTCCGTTGAAATATTTGGAAATGAGAATGTTTATTGAGAATTTCATAAAATAAAAGGCTTTTCTAAAGAATTTATGTATATTTTTATACTGTATTATAGTATTGGACTGGTTCATCCAGCGGATCGATCTATAGAAAAAGGACGGGGAAAAGAGAGAAAAAGGGTAGGTGGTCTTTTTTTTGTTTTTTTTCCTTCCCAAAATTCGTCCAAAACAAATTCGTTTTTTATATCTAGAAAGCATGGCTACTAGGCCTATGCATCCGAATCCGGATTCGGCCCAGAGACGGATCCGACTACCGAACACGGGCCCCGTCGGAGTATTATTCGGCTGCTGTCGGACATTACCCATTTTCACCCCCGCGTTGATAGACGATGATTTGGAACACGTAAGGCTATTTTAGGAAGATAAAAGAAGGGAACCATGGTAAGAAGAAAGGAAAGGGGGAGGAGCACGGACAAGTCGATGGTCTTATCTCACAAGTCTTTAGGAGCCCCGACTTGAATCCATTCCCTTCGCATTCCCTTGCCTTCGCGACGTCAAAACCCACAGGCGTCTTCGAGCAGAGTGGCAAGTAGTTGTTTTGTCACTGACAAGGACGAAGCAGCGAATTATTTCCCTCTCCGTAACAAAGAAGGGGAACTAATTAAGACGCGAGGAGCCCTAATTCTTCCTCCCCCGACCCACCTTTGGATATCGTGAAGAAGCGCAGGAGGAGAATGCGTCGATCCACTGGGCTTTTTCTTTCCTCGACAGGCTACTCTAGCCTCGCCAGGCCGCAATAGATTCTGCAGGTCGGATTGCCTGTGGTTTTGTGGATCGAGGGTTCTGTTCTCCTTCGTTTTCTGTTGAACTAGTTTCTTTTTTAGTTTTATGTTTGTATGCGAATTCTTAGTAATCCTCTTGTAAAAGAGGTTTCTTTTTATCTTTAGTTTTAATATCAATGGTGGTGAGTGATATCTTTCGTGGAAAGTACCAGTTTTGACATTTTATTTTGGAGTCTTTCGGCATGATGTACTTTCATGTTTATTTGGTGTTTGATTATTTAGCTCAATAATCAGGACTTGATTTTCTTTAGATATACTGAAAAGTAACTTTGACTTATTTAGCTTAATAATTAGGACTTGATTTGCTTTAGATATACTGAAAAAGGGTAACTTTGACCTATTCACTTGGGGCAGTAAAGTTGACCTCATTATAAAACAGTTGTCAGATTCATTAGAGGTTGAATGTTTACCATCTGAGCTTGTTACCTATCTTTTTGTGGGTTGTCTTAGTGGTATTATTCTACTTGTTGTGTAAGTAAAGATAAATCTGCAAACCTTTTATCTCTACTGTTGAATCTGATTATTTCATGATACGCTGGACGCATCAAATATTTGATATACATGAAGAAGGATGCATGTAAAATATATGGAAATGACTTAAATATTGTGGAAGGGAAGCTTTTATGTAGCATAGTATCTAGGAGCTTCCTTCACTACTGCATAGAAGCTTTTGGCTGCTAATTATTAACCTACTCAGCAGCTTTTTATGAAGCATAAACACTTCCAAATAATGCCTGTTGTTTCTGTGTCATATGCATGTTGGGCATTGATACATGTGGAACACTTCTGGACAAGTGCTGGATAGTTCAGAATATATTAGGATTCTTATACCATCTATACTTCAAAATTATTAATGAGTAGAGGACATTTAAGTCATTTAAAAATGACTTCAGGATGTGTTAAACATATGGCAATATGTACACGATTTGGATTTATAATTTACTCAATGTTTTATGTTTGGGTTCGAAGTGATTTTGTGAACATTTGCTGCTTATATAATTGTGTAATGCTTCTCTTCAGTTTAACATTTGATGATCATAATTTGCTATATACAGTTTAAATTCGCAATAATGTATCAAAGCATGCCTTCATTTCGATGTGCATGTCATCTTGTGTCCTACTTCTGTAAGATTTGCCATTTGTGTGTATTCTTGTCGTGTTGTGTTTGAGTCCTATGTCCATGTTCATGCTTGATGGGCAGCATTATGAACTTGCAGAACAAGTTATCTTCAAGTAGTTAGTAGTCAAGTCGGGGCTCTCTTGTATCAATGCTTTGAGGCAAGGCTGTAAATACTACATTAGATTTATAATAGCAAGGTATATGGAACATCTTCATAGTTCACTTATAGGTGGACAAATTGGCATCAATTATTGTAAGAAATGGCAACATTGTAAGACTTCCAAAAAATCCAATGGATATCCATTATTGTAAGAAGAATATAAATAGAGAAAGGCATCATGGAATTATTAGCTTCTCTTTGGCTTAGTTGGTCTATGATTAAAGTGTCTTTGCTAATTGCAAAGGCCCCTATAGAAGATGATTCTGATAATGATCTGTGCTCCAATTGGTTTCTTGAAGGAGACCTTCTGAAAACATGATTTAAGTGGCATGGTGTGTTTTGGTTTTGGAGGTTTTATAAGAGCATTGTTGTTAAATGCTGTTGATATGCTGGTTTAAACTGGCTTGATTTGGTTTAAATTCTTTCTTATTGAATTTATTTAAGAAGTATATACATGTTTACTAAGAGTTCATGTTGATATGCTTTTTATTTGATCTACCCATATTTGCAGGTTGTCATATTTAACTTTCAAAATATAGGGCAGGAACAATGAACAGTTCGTTTAATGGGCAGATTTTGGTCGACAAGCTTGTCAAGCTCAACAACACACAACAGAGTATAGAGAGTATCCTTCCATTTTCATTGATTGAAACTCATTTGGCAAGTCAACTATAGTAGTGTAGTACTTGTAATATTTGGTGTTGTTTGTAGCTTACAGTTAATGAACTAACCTTCATGTTCATGATGTTTAGAAGTTTTCCCAGGCTGTATAATGTAGTCATGTGTTGCCTTGCCATAGTGCTAGGTTGACCATTAGAACAGCACCTTTGCAAAGCCACAAATTGTGTTATTTGTTGTTGCTTTTAGAGATAGAAATAAATGTGTATCTGGTGGCACATTCTTAGTTAATGATGAAAAGAGAGATTTAATAAAGTAGATAAGCCATCATATAAATTCTCACTATTCAGGTGCTTTTATATTTGTAGTCATGACAAAAGAGAATAACTGAAATGATCTTTAATGATAAATCAATGTGTCTAGTAAAATTTGTCTAAAGTTGTCTCTCCCAAGTTTCAAAATTTTGGTGCAGACTGATATTTACTGGTTCGATCAAGCACTAATGTTGAAACATATAACTCAAGAATGGTACAAAATCATTCATTATTTATTATTTTTTTATCATATCCAAATCCAATGATACTGGATTGTGCGGATCAGTATACTGGCCAATATATTAATATTGTACCAATCTAATAGGTTATTGAAACCAGAATCAGACTGATTCGATTATTGCTCTGTACTTTATAATTTCTTCAGACAACACCATTGAGAGAAATAAGTTAACACTTCATGTGACTTCCTTTTGGATGCATTTTTAAACACCTTTGTGCTTATTTATTATTTTGTCATATAATTGAAATTAATGAATTTGCATTCTTCATATTTTTAGTTTACTTAATGTTGAATTTGTTGATCCAAATACAAATAGATCAAGTTAGATAGTGCTAGTGAAGATTTAAAATTTGTTCCAAATTGGTAGTAGATTTCACTCTTAGCCATAAGCTTCACATAATTGTGAGCGTGCATCTCTTTTTGGGAAAAAAAGCTATGATTATGCCCGTAATAGAAAGAATATTCTCTAGTCCAGTTGTGAGGATAGAGTCTTCATTTCTTTCTCTCATTTCATATTTGTGTAGGCATAATTTGCAGTATGCATGATTATCCTCACTCATAATTTAAGTATACTTAACTTGAATAGCGTTATCACATTGGTGTATCTTCCATAGAAACAAAGCAAAGCAGGTTGTGGAAACATGGCAGTGTCAATTTTATTGCGCTCCAAGAGATCAGCGAATATGCTTTCTATATCTAGCAAATGATATTTTGCAAAACAGCAGGCGAAAAGGCCTGGAATTTATTAATGAATTCTGGAAAGTTCTCCCTGGTGCCCTTAATGATGTATTTAATAATGGGGGTGAGTTTGGAAGAAACACTGTAATAAGATTGGTAAGTAGAATCAATTTATTTCTCTCTTTCTTTGGCATGCTTGTAGTAAGACCTTTAATTAAATTTATCTGACTTATAATTCACAGTTGGTTTCAAATTTAAGTTTGCTTGCGTGTCATTCATGGTTGTGTATCTAGTGAATATTTCTGAATATTAAACAGCTCTTGTTTACTTAAGCCATATGATGGGTGCTGACATGGAACTTACATAGTGTAGAAATATGCCTAATTTTTCACATATTTCTGACAAATTGTTGCTGTAGAATTTTTGTGCATTATCCATGTATATCTGATTTTGTTGGATTTTAATTTAGTTTTAGTATCATATCTGTAGATTTTTGTGCACATTATCCATGTACATCTGGTTTTGTTGGATTTTAATTTAGTTTTAGTAAGGGTAACATAAGATGAATTTGGAACATTGCTACAACTACAACCTAAAGGAAGATCCTTAATTAGTGTGAGGAATATATTTTAACTTATAAGATATCTTTGATGGAAATTGTTACTGCTTATATATGGCTAACTTCCAAATTCTGTCACAATGATTGTCATACTTGGCCCAACCTGTACTCTAGAAAAAAGCAAATGTAACTCCCATAAATATTATGTATTATCTTGTACAGTTCTTCTCTGTTGCTAAAATGCTTCAATATTATGAAGTTATCATGGTTGCAAACTTACCAGACCATGTGTACTGTTAGATGAGATATTCAACATTGAGGAACAAAGTTCACTTAATATTTAAATTGCTAATGATCTATGGAAGTTGCATGACTTTTCAGTTTCGGTGGACATAAAGTTATAATGTTGAATTAATTTAATTTAATTTTACGCTTGTCATTGATTACTTGTATCTGCAATTTATGTATAGGTTCCATGGAATGTGTTCTGTTAGCAATGACACAACCTAGTTGAAATGACAAATTTTGAAGGTACAAAATTGAATTAACAATTAGAAAAAAAAATAATATGCTACAAAATGTCTAGCACTAACAATGCTCAGAAACCCTTTTACATAGAAAAATGCTCCAACATATATGAATCATCAAAGGAAACAGAAAAACAAGTTTAATATCAAAATCCATCTTCTGCAATTATTAGTGGCAAATCAAGGAGAAATAAGCCTCGTATGTGGGTGGCTAGACACCTCCAAGCCATGTATGCGACAACAAATCAAGGAGAATTGTTCTTAAATTCTAGAGATTAAATAATTTCTTCAATAAGTTAGAAGTATTGGTTTGGTGGCAGATATCAATATGAGATTCTTTATAATTCCCACAAAAGAAGCCCAAAAAGACACCTAGAGGATCTAAAGTATCAATCTTTTATGCCTGTCATGTATAGTAGTAATTACTATGATTATCCCCATGTTATGCACACTAGGATATTTTTGGGTTTCTCCGGTGGATGTCAAAAGCCTCCATAAGTCAAAAGTCAAATTTGCAGATTGTCCCTTTATTTGATGGAGACGTTTATGTATAATGTTGTAGGAATATGCAATTAGTTTTAGTTGGATTCATGGTTCATATTCTAGATCAACCTAAGCCCTCTATTTCTTGATTTAGTGTATCGACACTTCTACTTAAATGGACTAGAAAAAACTGTCAGGAGTAACATCCACTCTCAGACTCGATGGCTGGGGCTTATTGTGTATTCTTGCTGCATCCTGTCTGTGAGAGACCACATAAATCTTTAAAGTTTTCAGGTTTGATTCAGTCCATCTAAATGTCATTTTGTTTACAGTGTAAGACTTCTAGGAAAAGGAAATCTTTCATTGGTTTAGTCTGGTATTGAGCAACTGCAGGATTTCATAGACTTTTATAAGAAAAGAAACTCTCTGGTGGGATTATTCAGTCTATTATCTGAATCCAAATGGGATCCCTTTCTTTTAAATGAAAGGAAAGGCTTCCTGTTCCTATTCATACCTGAATGTATCGAACCACCATCTTTGTCTTATATTAACTTTCTATTGTTTTGCCACTAAAATATTCCCAAATTGACCATTAAATTTGATTCTGAACTGAAAAAGGGACCTACCTAATAAATGATTAACTAACAGACAGATTCTTATTATATTGTTTTGAACTTTTGATCCTTTCTTAACTGCAATAAAAGTGACAGCAAGCTACCAGAAAAATGCCTAATAATGATACAAAATAATTTATACACAATCTCGATTTAGTTATTTTAAACAATATGACAAGTTGACAACAACAAATGATAATGTCCCAACTATTTGGGATCAGCTAAATTGATATTATTCTTATGATTTGAGCATCGTACAAGGCAATATCTCTAGTTAAATCAAGAGCAGTCACATCCTTTTTTATTGATACTACTAAAGTTCTCTTGGGCAACTTTTTTTCCTCTTATCACACCACTAATACTACTGGATTCATCTCATCCAACCACAATATTGATAGTCTCTTCTTTGGATGATGCACCTTCATTTTATTCTTTGTTGGGGTTATACCTAATTATTCATGAAAATATCTTTTTATGTCTTCATAGGTAATTCCGCACATCTACCTCGACATGTTCATCTTAGCTGCGTAAACTGTTTTTTGTACATGTTTCTTAACTGCTTAACAGTCGGGCCGACCTTTTTTAAGCAGTCTTTCCTCAACATGATCCCTCTAACTGCAGATCAGGGTTCATCCAATTGTTTTGGCTAGAAATAATTATGTTCTCATGGTTATTTGTCTTTGTATCTTGTTGGATCCTTGGTTATGTACAAATTATCAATTGATTAGATATCACTATCCCTAGAGCATCAAGCTTTTGAATCCAACAACTAGGTCAAGTGCCATGAGCCATAAACTATCAGTTCATTACATATACATGCTGAGATTTGTGATCCAAGTTCTAACTAGGTCAAGTGCCATGAGCCATAAACTATTATAACACAAGCAGTAGACAGGAGAAAGAATTTATTAGTAGAAGAAAAGTAGGATTAGATTAACATTTGTATTTATATAGAGATGTTTCCTTTTGAATGATGGGAATAGAAGGTTCTCGATGCTAAAGGTGCGTTGTTCATATAAACTTTTGATTTCAGACATGCTTGGCGATCAAGTCTATGTTGTACATCTTTCTTGCAATTCAGTATTTGGCAACACTATGTTATGGATGTCATTTCGTTCAACTGAATGCCTAGTTTTTATTTATGTACAATTGTTTGATCGATTGTAGTGTTTCTTTGGTTCTCACTTGGATTGCTAAGGCTGTTATCATGATATGTTGCTCTTTCGTGACTTGGGTGATTAGTATTTGAGTCATGGAAATGACCTCTTTGCTTGCAAGGGCAAGGTTACACTTCTCCTTAGACCATATCTTAGCGGTAGTCTTATGTGCCGGGCTTGGATTGCAAAATATATAAGAATGAAAATTATTCTATGATGTGTCATTTGTTTAATAGGCCTTCTACATAAAACTGTTTGTTTTGTTACCAATTTTTCATTCATTTGCAAAATTTTATTTCAACCTAAAATTTTAATCAGCCACCTTTTGATTCTTCTAAATATCATCAGATTGACATATGGGAAGAACGCAAAGTCTTTGGCTCTCATGGACAAGTTCTTAAGGATGATGTCTTCGGAAGAAATATTGATAATAAAAATAGAAATGAGAAGGGCATTACATACAAGTTGGTAAGGATTTCAAACATTTAGTCTAATGTGTATCTTGCCATGCTGAAATGTTTGTGCAATGCCATATTTTATATACTAGAGCTGTTAATTAAGATTACATGCATCACCATCTGCATGTTTGCCATTGATAGAAACAGCCTGCTGGGGAACAGCTGGAGAAGCTCATTTCAGGCTATAATCATGTTTATGGTCTTCCCTTTGATGAAGATACTTTATTTGGAAATTATCAAGCTGCCATTAACTATATCGAGAAAGTGCATAAGGAACATGGAAATGACTGTAAGTTGAATGACTCTTAGACTTTCATACAAAGTGGAAATACATCAAATACTTAGTCGACATGAAAGTTTACTTCCTTTCTACAGTTTCTTAGAATTCTGCAAATTTATTGCATCATGAAGCTAGCAAATTTTTTAGTCCTACTCTAGGGCCAATAAAATAATTGATAATACAGATATGTTTTATACTATTCTTGTTCTGAATTACAAGGTTTCGACCATATCACTCTGCTGTCTATGGGCATAAAATAACCTCTGTAGATTGATTTCATCTGACAAATGGATTACTAACAGGACTTCGGCCTAGTGGTTAAGTTGTCTCTTTATCTTGAATAGGTTCTAGATTGAATATTTGTGGAGGTGATAACCAAAAAACCGTATGTACAAAAATGAAAACTAAAAAAAGAAGTTGACATATGAATGTAACTTTATTTTGTAGTAAGGTATCTTTCTGAGCACTGCTAGTTTGGAAACTTCTAAAGATGTAAGATCTTACCTATAAGGACACTTTAAAATCCCAGTTTCTCTTTTGAAAGAACCCTATTTTATTAGCTTCCATAAATAGATATGAAATGACAAAATTACATGCATGAAAAATTGGACATCATTAACAAATAGTCGACTTTATTCAGAGCCTAGACCTTAGTTATCAGAAGTGTACTATCTTTAAGCTTTGCTTATGGTTGCCTTTTGGAGCTAAGTTTTCTACCCTTGCTTTTTCTCAGTGCATGTTTGGCTTCTGAATTGCTTGCTTGAGAACTACTTTTATTCTTGTTTGACTCTGTTGGTGAGACATTTTTGTTTGCTTTACACATAGCTTCATTTTATTATATAATGCTTTAATAGTTGGATCCTTTTTGTTTCTTTTATTTTTTGTATTCTGGACATTTCTCACCCTTCAAGAGAGAATCTGCCTAGGACTTTTTTTCATACTTATATCTTAACATTCTAAATTCTCATCTTGACATTCTTCCTTCTTCTTCCTCCTCGTCCTCCACCACCTCCCCTTCTTCCTTTCTCTTCTTCTTCTTCCTCCACTGCCTCCCCTTCTTCCATCCTCTTCTTCCTTCTTCCTCATCTTCCTCCACCACCTCACCTTGTTCCTCCACTTCTTCCTTTTCCTCCTCATCTTCCTTCGTCGCCTCCTCGTCTTTTTTCCTCTTCCTTCTCTTCCCTCCACTGTGTCTATTCTTCTCTTTCGGTACGTACTGGTTCGATCACAGCAACAAAATGGGTCCGGTGCCAAAATTGCAGTCCTTGACAATAGCAATAATATCTATGAAATTTCAGTTGAAATAATAATCAGTGATTTAAAAAGCGTTAGGCGCCAAAATGCGCCAAGGTCCAAAAACGCCTGAGGCGGCGCTAGGCGCTCGCCCGAGCGAAGCGAGGCGCTAAAATATAAAAATATAAAATATAATTAATAAATATAATTATTTAAAATTTTAAATAAAATATGCTATTAAATTAAAAAAATCTAAGATACAAAATCAAAATAATATATTATTAATCTAATAAATACAAATACTATTATTAGTATACTGTTAACAGTATACATAAAGAGAAGAAGGAAGAGGAGTGTAAGGGGGTGTTGACAGAAAAAAGGAAGCGGTAGCGGCAGTGGCAGCGGGAGCGGGAGTGTAAGGAGGCAGCGGCAGCGGGAGCGGCGACAACGAGAACAGCAGCGAGCAGCGGGAGCGGGAGCGAGAGCGAGAGCAGGAGCGGTGAGTAGCGGGAGCGACAGCGGCAACGAGCAGGGTTAGGGTTGGGCAGCGACAGCTGATATCGGTGCTTTAGTTGGTTCGATTGAACCAACTAAAGCACCGGAGACCGAACCAGACCTAAAACGCTGGTTCGGTCGCCTGGTTTAATCCAGGTGCTCGCCCGAAGCGCCCAGCGCCTGGGCTCTTTGAAGCGCGTCGCCTGGAAGTGAAGCGAGGCGCTTGGGCCTCGCCTCGCCTCGCCCGAGTGCCTTTTTTAATCATTGATAATAATAATAATTACAATTATTAATTATCACTTTAAATTAATCTGTTCCAATAATAATAATAATAATCTGTTCCAATAAACTTCAAAGTTGAGACAACAAAAGCTGATTAGTGCCAGCAAAAACTAATGCATTGGAAGATGATGAGATTAATTCTCTCCACAACTATGTATGAGTATGTAAGCCCTTAGGCATATGATCAGATACTATCCCTTATTTGCAATAAATTCAGTTCTCTCTCGTCTTTTTCCTCTCTCTTTTTCTCTTTCATCCCATCCTCGCTCTTGTCATTTCTCTTGTTTCTCTCTTGGAAGTGCTACTTTCCCCCAAAGAATAGCACTCTCCAATAAGAAACTCATCCTATAAATTTACTATTCTCTGCACTCTTCATTTGCTCCCTATGGTGCTCCATGTTGATTATTTTTATAACCACCTCCATGGATACATGGTATGCAGTGTGCACCATAGTCATCTAACCCCTTTGCCTTACTACAAAGGTTGGATGCAAGTTGTGACTACTAGATTGATACTTTTGTACATTTTAGTATCGATCAACATTTTTTGTGAATTTTTATCCTACACTTCTTGCAACTATGTTACCCTTATTGAGAATATGAAAGGGCTCCTGCAGTGATTATTGATTGAAGAACCCATCAGGGTAGAGATCTCAGTTATCTAAGCATCACTGGAGAGTACCCTATTATTTCAGCAGTTTCTTGATATTACAGGTTTCAAATAGCTCCCAGCCAGCACAAGTCCAAGGAGGAACAAACTAAGCTTATGAAGCTGATGACTACAATTTGCACCCAAAACATTACACTGAGAAATCCTATAACTCATCCAATAATTCCAGGTCCTCCATTACAAAATTAGCCCAAAACAATGATTGCGAGGTCTAAGGACAACCATTCATAACACATATTGACTCACTGTTATATAAGTGCTTGGTTATGATAAGCAGCCTATTGTGACATTGATTTGTTACTCCATCGACACTTAAGACGAGGATGAAGATCTCAAGGACATGGTGATTCAAACGATTACACAATTCGACAATCAAATCAGAGGCATCAACAACCAATTTTAAGTAGTAACACAAACTTGCCAAGTAAGATTATAACCATGTAATCACACTATGGTCCTTACTGGATAGATTAGATGATCACATAAGTTCTCATTATTGAATTGTCAAGGTATTTGGGATGAAGAAGAACAAAAATCCAGCATCTGATTTATTTCACTCAGTCCCAAGTTACTGCAAGGTGAAGAAAATTTCTGCCTGCAACAGTCCTGTAGTCCAGCACACCACGATCATCTGGCCCTAATCAGCCATTTGAAAATAACTTCTGCAGGTCCGCAAGGCAGTATCCTATATGCTCAGAAAATACATACCAAATTGTGCCTGATTCAGACTCTAATTCGTCACTCTGATTGACATCAAAAGTGGAGAAAAGTTAATGGCTTTGGTTATTATGTTACCTTTCTAAAGAGCCTGATATGGCCATTATTTCCGGCAAATTGGAACTCGACACATGGAATCTAGCTGGAATCCAACATGCCACTTCAGCTACCAAAGATGATGAAGATTGAGTATGCATCTAAAGAGAGTATTTATGGCAGTTATAAGTACAAGGATATATAAAGTGACATCTCATGTATGTTTTCATAGAAAACTAGGTAAACTAACACTTATGGGCTTTAGACATCCATGGACGCATGCTAACTTGACTGTTAGATTGGTTTGGTTGGATAAACCCTCGACGCAATATGACACATACTAACTTGATATTTGGAAGGGTTTTATCTGACAAGCCCTCGGCTCAATCTTTTTCTGGAAGTGAGATTCAAACTGTGGGCATTTTTTGCACTTAAACTAAGTAAAATAAAGGATTTTGCTGCCTTCGAGAGAATCTCTCTCGGCGCAATCTTTTGTTGGAAGTGAGATATAGAATATGGGCATCTTTCGTCGTTAAACTAAGTAGAGTAAGGATTTTGCTGCCTTCAAGAGAATTTCTCCCTCATCTAAGTTCCAAATACTTAACAACCTCTCTCTTCCAAAATAATAACACTCGAAAAACAAGTTTCGGTACTTGGTTTTTTCCTTATAATTTTGATTTCAATGGCAGTTGAAGGCATAGTCCTAAAATATATAAGGCTAAAATTATCATGGATTTTAACGGATGGATCTGAATATGATTTCAAAAGAATTTATATGTTTGGGTCAGTCCTCCAAAGGTACTGTCAATCTGATTCGTTTTAGTATATAATTTAAATGTCATAATGCATGCCAGATCCCCGTTGCAACAGATGCAACATAAGGACATGTTCTCCTAAGTCAACTTAGAGGCACAACTGAGCTATTAATATTGGCCTATCATGTTAAAAGGATATTTACAAAAGCATTGCTACCACAAGGTTCAACATCACTAGCTTGGGGACTTTGATGCAATTCACATCCTACACAAACCTCGTTAGCTTAACCTAGAACATCATTAGACCATTCCTACTACAAAATTAGCTTGTATTGGGTGATTCAAAGATCTAGATTGGATCACATTAGTCCAGTGATTTCAATAGGCGCTCGGGCGAGGCGAGGCAAGGCCCGAGCGCCTCACTTCATATCCAGGCGGCGCACTTCAAAGAGGCACCGCCTGGGCGCTCGCCCGAAGCGCCCGACGCCTGGGCTTAGGCGAGCGCCCGGGTTAAACCAAGCGACCCCGGTGCTTTAGTTGGTTTAATCGAACCACTAAAGCATCAATATCAGCCTCACAGCATCCCTCTCGCGACTTTTCCAACCTTAACCCTGCTCATGATTTTGCCGTCGACATTTCCTCTCCGCTGTCGTTGCCTCTCTCCATTGTCGTTGCTCTCCGCTGCCACTACCACTATCGTTGCTCGCCGCTGCTGTCGCTGCTCGTCGCTACTATCGTTGCTCGTCGCTCCCATTGTTGTTGCTCGCTGCTACCGCTATCGCTACTCTCAGTCAGCAGCATCGGTGTTACTCAAGGTATGCAATACCATACCGTACCGGTGTTTCGAGGTTGGCTCAGTACGGTACGGTACCGGCGTACCGAACGGTACACTAGGGCTTACTGAGCGATTTCCTCGTATTGTAGCACGGTCCGTCCGGTAGCGGACGGTCCGCATGCCGGTATGCCGTCGGACTGGTACGTATCGCCCGTACCGGGCGGTACCATTCGAAATTGCATACCATGGTGTTACTCTTACGCTGCACTATCGTTACCGTTGCCGTTGGCACTATCGTTACCGTTGCCGTTGGCACTATCGTTGCTCGTTGCTATTGTCACTGCTCTCGCTGCCGCTGCTCGCCGCTGTTGTCTTACTCTTACTCACTCTTCTCACATCGACTCGATAGTATACTGTTAACAGTATATTAATAGTATACTGTTAACCGTATACTAGTAACAATATTTTTTATTTATTAGATTAATAATATATTATTTTGATTTTAATACTGCTATTTTTTATTTTATTTGAAATTATTGTTATTGTTTTGAATTTTGAGACTTTTTGTTAATGTGATATTGTGATTTTATAAGATTTTCTTAATTTAATATCATATTTTTATTTAAATAATTATATTTATTAATTATATTATATATTTTTATATTTTAGCAGCTCGTTTCGCTCGGGCGAGCGCCTAGCGCCTCGGGCGTTTTTGGACCTTAGTGCCTATTGGCGCCTAACACTTTTTAAATCACTGCATTAGTCAAAAAGTTATATGAGATGTTGCATTAGCCCTAGCTTGCTCAACCACTGTAACAAGTCATCTAGGGCTAGAGTTTAGTATGGTTGAATTGGCTTTATTTGGATTTTTTTAGTCATTCTGAAGGGCTTGATACTATTCCATTAGTTGCTAACTAGCATGAAATCTTTTCATCTAGGTCTGGGCCAACTTCTACCAGAAGGATTCGACAAAGTCTGAAGATTGTTTCTTATTTTGAATTGAGCTAGAGTCATAACTTATGTATAATTGTAGGACCTTTAGTTGGAATCAGATTCAGCCCAACTAGGATTTGACCATCCATGGCAGTCCTAAGCAACTCTAATAAGGAGAAAATAGTCTAGGTCAACCGTATTCTAAATTTGAAACTTTTTCTATGTTTTTAGTTATTTTAAGAAAGATTTCATCTTTTCTAATTAGCTGGTTTAGTCTGTCAAAATACTCCTTTCGTGAGTTTTATTGGTGTTCCATAGTCCCTGAGTAGAGGTTTAGCTAATTATACCTATTACAGCCAATATTTTGAAAATTCTAGAAGTTTCTCTTACAAGTTTTTCTCTTATAAGATTAGTTTTTTCTCTACGACTTTGAAAACTCTCTCTCTCCAACACCCCACCCCCCCCCTCTCCTTTCTCGTGCCCTCCCAACCCTCCATTCCCTCTCCCATTCTTTCTGCTTTTGTTCTTTCTTGCAGGTGCTACTTTCTCTTGCAGAAAAGTGGTTACTGGATAGGAGCCCATACTTTTAGCACCTCTCTTCTATGTTGCAGGGTACTTGAGTCAAAGGTATTTGTGAAGAAAATTAAATTTGTGGTCTGGCTTCTCACTATCAAAGAATTCTTTCTCTGTAAGCCTTTGATTTGGATTGTGTTGTTTCTTTCTTTGGTTCCTTTGATCAACTATTCATGTTCAGTCTCCTAAGTTGGATTTCTCATAGGGTCTTGACAGTTGACATCTAAAATTTTCTCATGGATTTAATCTTTCGGAAACTAACTTTATCAGAAACTAACTTTTTTGTTTCGGTTTGGAGATTTTAATACATAAAACTAAAGAGTCAAGCCTTTCCCTTGTCTCAATTTATTGATTAGGCATATTGTTTTTCTAGTGTTGATGTGAAGTTGACAATCAGTCTTAAAGTTCTTTATGTTTTCCTTAAAACTCTCTTTTTGGAGTTGTGTTCCACAGCTGACTGTGTTTTCATATGAAATATTTGGATAGTTTAAACCAAGGTTCGCCGTACCGTACCGTACCGGCGTTTCGACCCGGGCTCGGTACCGGTACGGTACAGTATACCGCTCGGTACACCCAGGTGTACCGAGCGGTACACTCAGGTGTACAGAGCACTGTAGCAGTGCTACAGTGCTATAGTGCACTGCTATAGTTCTCGGTACGGGCGGACCGGTACAGGGCGGTCCGCGTACCGCTAGCCTGTCGGACCGGTACGTACCGCTAGCCTGTCGGACCGGTACGTACCGCCCGTACCGGGCGGTACAGTCCGGTACGGCAAACCTTGGTTTAAACCAAGGTTCGCTGTACCGTACCATACCGGCGTTTCGACCCGGGTTCGGTACGGTACGGTACCGGTGTACCGGGCGATACATCAGCGGTACGCCCTGGTGTACCGAATAATTTTTTTATTTTTATACTGTAGCAGTACTACAGTTTAGTACTGTAGCACTGTAGCGGTACCGGACGATCCATGTATCGATAACCTGTCGGACCAATACATACCGTCCGGTACGGGCGGTATGCTTCGGTACGGCAGACGTTGGTTTAAACTTTAAAGTTTGATCTCTATCTTCTCCAATATAATTTGTTTACTCTGAATTCATCTTAATTTGTTTTATATTATTTTTTCCATTGTAGATTACATTCAATGTAGTAGGTTCCCCCTAGTTTTATCACCAAAGATAAAACAATTCATTTCAAATTGCAATTTTGTTTCATGACTATAAAAAGATCGATTTATATGTATGCTTGAGTAAATGTGTCTTCATATTTCGTGGTAATATGACTCCTTTAAAGGTGGATGTTTGTTGAGCAATATATTTCAACGCATACTTATCCACTTGATATCTCTTTTTGTGATGTGTTTCATCTTTCTTTTTGTTTTATCATATGTATGATAGGGAATTCCAATGGATCTGAAGTAGTTGCGGAGTTGCAGACACAGCATGGCAGACTAGGAGAATGCATTGAACACCTAAAATCAGTTGAATCATCTAGAGCAACTCTGGTTACCTATCTAAGAGAGGCACTACATGAGCAGGTGGGCAGCTGGTTCATTGTTCTCAAGGCTTTGTGCAGGTTCTCTCTTTTTTTTTGTGTTTATAATTTTAATATGTTTTGATAACTGTTTTGTGTTTTCAGGAATCAAAGTTTGAACAAGTCCATCAACAACTTCAGGTACACTTCTTTCACATAAGATCTCCTGTTTATTTCAGTTGACATATTACCTCTGACGAGCTCTTTGTTGAATTTTCAACTTCATGAACCTGTGACTGTCACACCCTAGTAAACCTAGATTCAGTGTGCTAGCTGAAAATTAGTAAAACAAAAATTTACTCTTATTTTATAGTAAAAATTGCTGCTTTTTCTTGCTGATAAGATGATTTTTTTTTTAATTGATATGCTTTTATAATGCAAGTAATATCGAGTCTTGATATGTTGGTCTCAGGATGGTGGAAGACCAAATAATTTATGGTAAAGTTACTGTATGAGAGTCATGTAAGGTGTAGTGCTGGATTAAAAGGAACTGTTCTGCATAGTAAGAGGCTTTAATTTCAAATATTTTAAGGAGGTCCTTGTACTTAAATGCTTTGATCTATATGTTGCTACACTTTATATTTAAAACCAAGATGGTTGCATTGAGCTTCGTGAGCACGTGGACAAGTTTGTGTTCGTAAGTTATGAATGGGCAATGTCTTCTTGGTGAACTTTTTTCTTTTTGGAAGGAAAATGCAGCTATAATTTTTTAAGAGCCAAGTATAAAAGAGTGGATTGGAGCCTCATCTGCAAAGAAAAAGAGAGTAAGGAGTGAGATATACCAAAAAGGGCTTGTGAGTTGAGAAAACTCGATGCTTTGAGCTATTCATTTGAAGGAAAAAATATCCCTGAATAACAACAACAACAAAGTTGTAAGTCTCACCTATTTGGGGTTGGCTACATAGATTTTTGACTGTCATTAAGATCTGTAAAAAATCGTATGCTTAGTTAAGTTTAAAGTATTTAAATATTTATTTATTGTTTCTATTTAAGTCTTTTTATATATTCTTTTGTCTCTCCTTTTACTATTAATATTAATCATTTCACTTCTTCTAACTATTGTATTTGTAGGTTTCTTAAGCATATGCCCATACCGTCTTAAGCGATTATCTCTCATCTTATCCTCTATCAAAATGATACTTAATTGTTCACGAATAAAAATATTTCTTTTCCTTTCTGTCCTAATAGTTTCATATATTCATCTCAACATTCTCATCACAGCAACACTTTTTGTATATGTTATTTTTTAACTACCGAACACTAAGAATCATAAAAGTATTGTTGATCTCACAATTGTCTTTTAAAATTTTTCTTTTAATTTCAAAGGTATTAATTGATCACATAAGACTTCTAATACCCCTTACCATTTTAATCATTCTGATTTTACTGTAAGAATAATATCTTCATCAATCTCTCAATCTTATTGAATAAATGATCTAAGATATGAAACTTCATGTCCATCCAACTTAACTATATTCTCCTACCTATTCCTAATATTACTAAGATTGCATATCATATATTCAGTTTTAGTCCTATTTAATCTAAAATCCTTAGCTTCTAAGGATTGCCTCAATAACTCAAGTTTTTAATTTATTTCACTTAGGCTTCCATCAAGTAAGATAATATCATCAGCAAATAATATACACTAACGACTAAAGAAGTCTATCTTATAAATGACTAATAAGTTCATTCATTATCAATGAAAATGTAGAGATTTAATACAAATCCTTGATATAATCTATTCTAGAATTCACTAGACACACTCCATATAGTTTTAACACTAGTACTTATATTAGTGGATATACTTTTATTTTTTAACCTATCATAATATATCTATATCTCTAGGAATTTTATCATAGACTTTCTCTAACTTAAGAAAAAGTTAAAAACCATATGCAAGTCTTTCTTTTTCTTTATACTTTTCCATTGATTGACTTAATAAATGAAAAACTTCAATGATTGATCTTCTAGGCATAAAACTAAATTGATTTTTAGATATATTTATTTCAAGCCTTATCCTACTTTCGTAACTCTTTCCTAAAGTTTTATAGTATGGCTCATGATTTTAATTCATATATAGTTAGAACAGTTTTGAATATCACCTTTATTCTTATAAATTAGTACTATAAAACTCTTTCTTCATTTATTAGGCATCATTTTGAATCTCATAATTTCCTTAAATAAGCTATTTAACTAAGCTATTCCTTTGTCCCCTAAACTTTTCCAAATCTTGATAGGGATACCATCAGATCTTATACTCTTAATTATATTTATCTTTTTTAAAGCTTCTTTTACTTCACTAGCTCTAATTTTACGAACAAATCTATGATTATTAAATCTACTATTATTTATCGTTAAAGTTAAGCCTTGTGTGGAATGCTCATTAAATAATTTATAAAAATATTTTATCCATCGTTCTATAATTTCATTATCATCAACAACTATTCCTTGATCTTCGTCTTTAATGCATCTAATATTACCTAAATTCTTACACTTTCTTTTCCTACCTTTAACAATTTAATAAATATCGTTTTCACTATCTTTAGTACCTAATTTATTAAAAAAAATATTACAAGCTTTATATATGCTTTTTTAGCCTCTTTTTTAGACACTTTATATCTTTTAAATATTTTCTCATTTTTATAATTTTATCAATGTTTAAAACATAATCTTTTAGTAAAAATTGCTTTTTGAACTTCCTTGCACCACCACCAAGGCACCAACTCTCTCTTAAAGCTATACCTCTACCTCTGGTTTAATAAGGATCTCCTCCTTTGTCAAGCTCCTAATCTTATTAGCTATCATAGTCCAAATAATATTAATATTATCCCCTTCCAAGTTGTAAGTCGTCCCCCTTTCCATTCTATTCTTAAAAACCCTTGCCGTATCATCTTTAAAATTCCACCATTTAGTCTTAGTAAGTTTTTCTACTATTTTCTTGTTCCACTTTCTATAACAAATATCTAATACCATCAACGTATTGTCACAGATGATTGTCTCGCACCTGCAACACCTTTGTCAACGAATCGTTCGTCGCTTTTATTTGCTTGTACATATGTTTGGGCAGCATGTTTTGCCTCGTTTGTGTGTTTTGCTTGAAAACTGTAAGCAGAAATAGTTTGCGAGACTACAGAGCGATCGCTCGCCAGAATGGGCAAAATTACCCTAAAATGGCTTAGTTTTCACATGCCATGGCCTATTTTTTTTAGGATGTGGTGCAGAGAAAAACGTTAGCCATCTTAGCACCTTAGAACACCTAGAGTGGCACCTGGATGGACGAGGATTTGGGGTAATGTTGGGCATTGATTGGATTCACAAGTTCGTACGTTAAGCCTACAGGAACTTGCCAACACCCCCGACACCCAGTGAGCAATTGTTTGCAGACTTACGACTATTCGTATGCCTTCTAAAGTCCTTGTTTTCTCCTTCTTCTCTTTTCTCTCTTGCACACCAAGTGTTTACTAAATTGCTTGTAAAGTTGTCCGCTTCGTGAGATGTCGGGATTTGTCCGCTGCTCGCTTTCAAACTAATCAATTTGTTCTTTTATAAGTCCTTCGAGACCTATAAGAGGTTGCAACTAGGTTGACCCTTTGTGAACGAATAACGTAAGGGTATCTTACGACTTAGGCAATTCCAGCTAAGTCCATGACATTGTGGTATTAGAGCAGGCAAACAATTCGAGCAAACAGTGAAAGTTTCGCAATCTTGCCGTGACTAAGCATCGTGGAGAATTGAGCAAGACGGAACAAGTCGGACTATTGCCCTAAGCAATCGCAGGTGGGTTCCATTCGGGACTGCATAAAGCAATTTTCTACACCGATACTGGACATACAAGACATATTCGAGAAGAACAAGCTGTTCAACTTCCTCGATAGCTTGAAGTCATGGGCACAACAGGAACTGCATCAAAGGAATGTCACCGATGTGGTCGGGGCAATTGCAATTGTGGAAAGGCTCATTGACTTTGTTTCCTTGGAGGCAATGGGGAAGAAGAAACAATCTTTAGGAAATCGCCAATCTAAGTTATTCCCGAGGGAAGGAGTCCGGAAGCAACCAAAAGAAAAGGAGTTCCCATAAATGGCTAAGCTCAAAAGGCATGGTCTTAAAACCCGACGAATGCTTCTTGTGCGGAGGACTGCATATTGTGAGGGAGTACTCACAAAAGTAAGTACTCAATGCATTGACAATATCAATCCATCCCCCTAGTCTAGACAAGGGCCAGGCCGTTGCCCTTAGTTTGAGTAATTCAGAATCTAGCAGTGATGATGAGGAGTCGCAAGGGCCTCGCATGGGAGCAATGCATTTGTTGAATGCATTGCAGGGTTACGTGGGGGAGAACATGATGACGAAGCCACAAAAAGTAGGGAGTAGCGAGTTGATGTACGTGGACATCAAGCTCAATGGCCGAGCAACTCGTGCGATGGTGGACACGGATGCTACCCTAAATTTCATTGCTGATCGAGAAGTAAGGTGACTTGGGTTGAACTTGGAAAAGAACCCAAGTCGGATGAAGGCTATGAACTCAAAGGCTAAGCAAATCCTTGGACTGGCCAAGGGGGTCCCCATCGAGATCGGGATGTGGAGCAGAGGCACAAACATGATGGCGGTGCTGTTGGAAGACTTCCAAGTGATCCTCGGAATGGAGTTTATGCATACGACGAAGTTGGTGCCAATGCCATTCCTGAACTCTCTATATCTGATGGGAGGCGATGACCCTTGCGTGGTTCCAGTTTCTCGAGGAGGAATCAAGGACTCACAACAAATATTTACTTTACAATTGAAGAAGGGGGTGCGAAAAGGTGAATTAACTTTTGTGGCGTAGTAAAACTAGATCCACTTGATATAAAGGCTACTCGTGAACCTGCTGTGGTGACGGATGTTTTGAAGGAGTTCACTGACGTTATACCACTTGTGTTGCCAAAAACTCTACCGCCATGCGGAGGCATAGATCATTGCATCGAGCTGGAGCTAGGAGTGAAGCCTCTAGCGAGAACCATATTGCATGGCCTCTCCAGAGTTGGTAGAGCTCAAGAAGCAATTAGATGAACTGCTAAGCGATGGTCTCATCCGTAGTTTTAAAGCACCATTCAGAACTCCAGTCATCTTCCAAGAGAAACAAGATAGGAGCCTCTGATTATGCA